TTCTAACTCCGTTAAATGTCATAAATTCCGTTTTCATGGATGCCTGGATGTTAAACTCAATTGTTACACCTGGTAGAGCAGAACGCTGATCATTTTATTAAAGATGAAAGACTTTAGACAGTTCTTAACTCTCAATAATGCCATAGACGTCAGACTTAACGACCGGATTGCTTTGGTTGCTAGCAGCCGCCTGTATTTCACATGGTAGACATCAACTTGTCTACAGACACACACTAGCTGCTCTCTGAGCAGCAGTCAAACAAGTGTGTTACCAAATGAAAACGGATACAAATGTGATAGTTTCAACCACAAACAGCATGTTTGCTGCAGGAAGGAACAGCTTTGTAGGACTCAGTTCCTGGTTTGTGTCACACTTTATCAAGTTTCAATACAACTGGAAGAAGTTGGTGTTGTCCATGCGCACTATGAGTGACCACAGTAATCTGCACCCCTAGCAGTCAATGCCCACTCACCAGGGAATACACATTGTTCTTTAGCAACTGGAGATTGCCATGGTATCACCTTCTAGGCTGCATAGCTATTGATTGGTGTAGCTAGTTTTTTTCCTTTTAGTATGTCCAGATGTTGTTATGGCTAACAGGTTACATCCAAGTTTAATTTAATGCCCACCCACTGGGACATCATGCTGACATTGTCAGTTAGAGCCATCACTCATACCGAAGATCAGTTGCGTATAGCCGTAGCAAAATAAAATGAATATAAAATACTTGACCTTATGTTACATATTTATTATTAGCAACTTCTCAAGTAAAGTTAGACATTTATGCACCAAGCTGCTGTTTTACAAACTCTACAGTTTATTTGTAGAGGGTGGGAAAGAAAGGTTTGCCTAACCCCCCACCGCTGAGTTAATCTTTCTAATCCACGAGGCTATCCTGTCCGCCTGTATTGGTGTAATTGATGGTTATGGTCATTAATTATTGGCTGTGATGTTGTGAAGTTCATGCCTAAGCAAAAATGAAATGCCAGAATTTCCCATTCTTCCTTTTGCATTTTCCGTGTGGGAGTTGAACTCAATACTCGCCCTAAATTGAGACTTAAGTAATAAAAAGCAAACGTTGAAGGACAAGATAATATTTATGGATATTCTTTCTGTATGTCTTATTTGAGTTTACTTTAATTACTGTGAAATTGAAATAAAGACAAATATATTCTGTGTCAGCCAGCTGGGTTAATTTAAAAGTTAAATGTTAGGTTTCTCCGACTGACTTTGAAAGATGAAGAAAATGTAAATCTCGCTAATAAGTCCTTCAAGGCCAAATGTAGTTTCATGCCTTACATTCTGAGGCAGAGCTAACTGGTGAAATTGGTACATGTAATCTTTAATAGTTAGTTACAAAAGCACAATCTAGTAATTAACATGTCACTCATAAGCACATCCCTAATAACCTCTAAACTGGACTACAATGAATAATAGTAGATTATTTGTTTGAGATCCAGCCAGTAGATTAATGACTCATAAGGTGATGATTATTATGATTAATAATGATGATGATTATTTTAGATTTAGCTACGAACTTAGACAATGAGCTACTTTTTCATTATGAAATATATTAGTTTTACATGCTAAGTAGTGACTCAGTAAGTTCCTCATTATGTTAGGATTACTTCTCCGTTCGCCACTGCCTTTGAAAACTGTTGCGTTTTCCAGCAATTTCACTGGAACACATGTGATCAAATGAGACTTTGTTTGAAACAATGTTTACTTGAATTCTATTAAATCTTTCTGTCCCCTTTTGAGGTGATGAAAGTGTGCACTTTTCTTTGACTTTATCTTTGAGAGAAAATGCTGTATATGGGACAGCAAATCCAATAAATAAGTGATAAGGCAGGAAGTTCACAGGAGAGAGCATTTGAACAATTTAAGCCCACAGGCACTTTCAGACGCAGAGAAAAGAAGAGGCCGGACAAGATACGGTGGAAAAGCTCTTTAGCGCCTCAAGCAGATGGATGGGAAAGAGCATCGGGCCTTCGCACTTAAGGCTCGACGTTGCTGATTGATTGCGATAACAACAGTAACATAAGGGAAAGAACGAGTGAAGAAGTCAGAGTTTATCACTGAGGTAGTGATTGCCCAGGGGTAATTTGGATGTTTTCTTTTTACAAGGTTGAGGGTGGATGTTTTTGGAAATAATATCAGGATGTAATGTGCGTGAACGACAGTGAATGAAAAGCATTCCTCATTTTTGTCTTGGTGTTTTGATTCAATCCGAGTACGTGTGGTTTCTCCGATGGATGGTTGGATGGACCATCTATCCATGTATTTTCTTACCCTTATCCAATTCAGGGTCACTGGGGTAGGGCTGGAGCCTCCTGTTTTTAGAGTCAACTCACCATCTGAGACTTCAGAAAGACAGAGAGCTTGACAAATCTGTTTTGTTGCTATGGCTCACCTTAATGTGACACTGCTGTAATCTCTCCCTCTCACTCTACCATCACTGAGAGGGGGATTTTCAGACGTTTTTGCCATAAAACAGTCTCTGTCTCGTCTCCGTGCCTCGTCCTCCACTCAGTCACTAACAGTAAAAGTGATCCTCGGCGAAGCACTCGAAAATCGATGAGTAGGCAGGCTGCTGCTGACGGTGAGCTTCAGACCACTTCTTTTTTAGCATTTGAGTTTTATTTAGAAACTCAGCCGCAGCGTTGCGCCTTGATGCATGAAAATGGCAGTGGTTGAAAGGGCATGCCATTTAACTCTTCTAATTAGGCTCACACTGGACACCTTCATAATGTCACTGAAACGCACAGTAGCACTTGTCATTTTAATGTAACTTTTATTAGCTTGAGCTAGGATGGTGATGCTCGGATTCAACTTGCATGTCAAAATGGAAAGAAATGGCGTGTGTTCCCAGTATAACGGCATTTAAATTAAAAGGGTTGATTCTGAATTAGTGTTTTTAGCTAAAATGTGGATTTCACTTAAGAGTCGGGGTGTAGAAATCATGCCCACGATAGTTGGAGGACTTCTAAAAGTACACTTTTTTAAAAAGTAGTGCTCAATATTATTCCCAGCACATATTTATATTTATTGTTTTGTTTGGTCCTTTTTAAGCTTCCAGCAGCTTTGAACCTGAATGCAGCAGATGTGGCGGTGCTGATAGGAAAAACCACTGCAAATGCTTTACCGCTGATTGAGGAGGTTAGTGCTTGTATCACGTACACGTGAAATGACTGGTTGTTTTTTGTGTTTCTTTTGCTTAAAAATGATTCGTCCTTACTTTGATATTTCCAGGTGGCCAGGTTGCAGAACTCCACGGCCTTTAAGGCTGCTAGTTCACTGAATTTCCAAGGCGACCTGACTGGCAGTATCAATATGTTTCTGTGTGGAAAGCAGCCTGACTCCAATTCCACCAATATGACCCTCGGTTTACTCTCACCTAGACAGATGGCTAACAAGACGTCAATTTCCATTACGGGCAACAGTTCAGGTAAGTGCTGCAGCAAGCTCCTTTGTAAAGCAAAGCTGTCACACAGGACTTTTGTCCTAATCATTTATCTGCATTTTAGCTCGACAGCACAGTAGGTGGTCATGGTAGCTGGGAAATGGAGAATATTCACAAGGCAGTGGCGCATAATGTGCAGCATCACGGGACACTGCGATTGATTTGCTGTAATTTTGCTGCCGCGGACATACTGCGTGGCTGTGTAGTGTTTGAAAAATGAGAAAGAGCTGAGCTCGATCAGTATGTGCACAGGATGTCTGACCAGTCAAATGGAGTTTTCTTTTTGTTCTGTAGGGATTTTGATATTTGGCATAAAAATGCAGTACACATGCATCATTTAAATAACTGCTGTACATCTGATGAGTCACACAGTGCAGAACTACAGAAGGTAAGAACCAGTACTTCCTGTAGTGGAAATGTCGGTGCAGGTGGGAAATTTTTTTTTGAATTGCACACAGTGCAGTCAGCTGTGCACAGGATGTGACCAATTGTGCAGATCCAGGAAAAGGCACCTGTGGCACAGTTGGCATCAGAGCTGAACTGGGTTTGATTAGGAATGCATGTGTCAGAGGCCGGTCACAGCCATAGCTAATCAAACCAGCTTTTCTCAGTACGTTTAAAAGCCGCGTACTCCCTGCCCCGACGTGACGATGTTTTCTTAATGGGAATGAAAATCCAGACCAGCTTCTCCCATGTGGAAACTTATGTTATTGCCTGGGTGGCGCTTTGGCACCAGGCGCAAATATATGACATCTTAAAAATGAACATATGGCAGTCTTAACTTCCCACAGAGGACAGATGGTGTCACTAGCACTTTTTTGGGGGAGATCTGAGCCAGTTTGTTTATTTATTTATTTTTTGTAATATTTAGAAAGGGAAGACAAGCATGGCAGCCGTATTGTCAGCATTTGTGCTCAAATTCTCCTGTGCTGTTATGGATTTGGCTGCAGTTGTAGTTGTTTGTAGTGAGTTTGTAGTTGAAGTTAAAGTCATCTGCAACTGAAGAACAGCCAAGTTCAAGCTGGGTGAGAAATATATATCGAAAAAACACAAAAAGTTACACTCCCCAGTTTAAGTAAACTTGGACCAACTTAAAACCATCCAGCTCAATTCTTCAGTTTTTGCCAAATCAACAGAAATCATCTGAAAGCAGTGGTTTGTTGACAGCTTGGTGATTTATTTTGATCGAAAAAAGCGAACTGTAGAAATTTGTAGAGATTTTCCTACATAGCTAGAAGTGCTATGGCTAGTGCACCATTGTTTCTCATACCTCATCCATACTGAGTAGTGTATAAACACGGTAACATGGTTCGTAGTTGTCTTGACAGCCAGATATGCGTACCTTGCAGCAGTGTGCTCCTTATTAAGGAGTTACTCCAAGTAGCCACATTGGAAGAAAGTGTGGTATCTTCACTCAGCTTTAAAAATCTGCACCTCGCCCACCTTCAGCATGCGTCAGCAGGTGACTGTGTGGATGGGCTCCTCTGCAAAATGCGAGTGAAACAGATATACAACTGCAAAATGCAAATAGCTAATGTAGAAACTGATGAATATATTCTATAAATGATGCAACATGAAACATGCCCCAACAAAATTCACGGGATATTTTCTGTAAGCAGGCACCCTGTTATTGTTTCATACTGCAGCGTATGTTTTTAGTAGACCGAAGGTAGAGTAGTGTGCAGAATGTGGTTCACCATTGTCTTGCTGAAATAAACTATAGTTCCCAAAGACATTAACATGTTGCTTCAAAACTATAAGCACTAATACATCATCACAGACTGAGAATGGACTGATCCCATATTTCGATCATCCAGGTCCAGATGTTGTTGACAACGAGCCGCTCTGTGGACTGATCCAGTCAGTTCAGCTGTTTATTTTTTATAGTTTGAAGTTAGAGAGCTAACGTAGCATAGAAGAAGCTAAAAAGCAAACCGACAGCCGTTTGGAGGCATTTAAACTCGAGCGATCCCAACGGCGTTTTTAAAAATCCACACACTGATTCTGTTTTCATGACTGAAAAGCTCTGACGGCGATGACGCTCTCTCCGTCTCTCCTTCTTGCTTGTTCACCCTTGCTGTCGTTGTGCTCGGTGTAGCACTTGTTTGGAAGCTTTTACTGCACTTACCGTAACGTAGCGCTTGTTGTTGCCAGCTCCATTAACATTATTTCACTTCATTTGTCTGTTGTTAGTTCCTCTCCACATGCTGTGTGCGTTTGTGTGTGTGTGAAGGAGAGATTGATCAGATGGCAGGACAGTCTATCCCAAATGAGATCATGCCACGAGGCTGGCAGAAGCATCCTTCTCCTCTATTTTATGTTATGTTATTCATTTGCATGGCAGAATTTTCCATCTGGGTTTATTGACTTTTAAAGAAATTGTTCCTGAGTCACTTAACGGATTTCCTCTCCTGTAGCTCAGTTGTTCGCTCTCACAGCTAGAAGGCTTTGTGTTGTGTGTCTGTGTTGTTTGCTTTTTCTCCTTGTCCCTGTGTGAGTCTCCTCCTGGTGCTCCCTCGCCCTCACACATCCCAAAGACGATGATGATTCCTGGGTTAACTGGTTATTCTAAACTGGCCACGGCTGTGGATGTAAGCGAAAATTGTCTGACTCTCTGTGTTAGCTCAAGAACTGTTCAAAGCTCGCCTCGCATCTTACCCAGTGTCAGCTGGGATAGGTTCCAGCCGCACGGCTAAGAAAATGAATGTCTGGACGCGTCGAAGCAGTGGTGTCACAGTGTGGCTCTTTACCAGGTTGTTGCCTTGTTTTTCTTGTCTCCCAAGTAGGCCATGTTTTTGCAACTTGGCTCATGTATTTTCTCATTAACTGTGGAAAGAAGTGGCAGTACATCATTTAGTTTCTATTGCTTGTTGAAGCATTCTCGGATTAGCAGGTGGATTAAAGTTATTTGAACTGTCATAGTCTACCTGGCAACAGTCCGAAAACTTTGTGTGTTTTGCTCACAGCAGGACGGCGACCGTTATGGATAACCCAACACCTGGATGTTTAAAAGAAGACCTGGCCAGACTATGTGTCTGATCTTGATTTATGGGTGGATCCTTTAAGACTAACAGACTCTTTTTTTAATCATTTGCACCTGCTTAAGCGCACCTGAATCTATTTTTATATATTTAAAGGATGGTAGCTTTAACCACATGGGGATAAACATGTTTTAGCTGGATAAAAGTACCACAGTTGTAAAAGTTTAAAGTTTTGGACTAATTCTATAAATATAAAAATATGTGTATGTATAAGTATGAGTGAATCCATATAGGTGCAATTATATACAGTGGTAAACAAATTTATTATTAGGCCACCGCCCAATGTAAGGTGATTACCAAAATCCTTTTTATATTTCTTGATCCACCAGTATGCACGCGCTTACTCAAAATGACGTTTTAAGCCCAAATATAATTACTGTAATTTGTGAAATTTGAAGTTTTAGAAAAAAGCAGAAGAAATTAGTAAAGCGTATTAATATTTTTAAAATTAAAATGCCAAATCGCAGCTATTTACCTTCATTCCTGACATTAGTTTTAGTGGTTGAATAATGAATTTCTGACTGATTGTGGGTATAAAAATGTGAATTCGATAGTTAATTTGAAAATAACGAATACATTTCTTGAATAAAACATCTTTCTTGATTTTAATACAGACACAGAGACATAATTTAGATAAAGGAAACAGAAGGAATTAATTATCTCTCTGCATTTGGTCCATGGTGAGCGTGTAGTACTTTGCGCCCATAGTGTAATTGCTGTCTACGTAAGTGCATAAATGTATAATTTATAAAGCTGCAGTGCGTTATTCTGTTTTAATGCATTTAATTCAGTTGGATGGTTCTAGATTACGTTACTTGTTATTTTTTAATGTAACACTGCCCCCAGCACAAATGACAGCTCAGAGAAAATCACTACTAGGTGATGCTATCTTTAATAAAACTCCAAACATGTTTCTTCCATAAAATCCTCGAGAACGAGAGCTTTAGTGTAACTTCCTACAGCCGCACGCTCATTAGAGACCGTGCAGCGCTGTTTCATTAAATGTCTTTTCTTTGGAGAAAACTGCACAAAATGAGATTTTAATAAGAAGCCTCTATTCCCTGGGAAAAAAGTTACACCGTTAAGTGGGATTGCATGCTAGTGTCGGTGCAAATTAGCAGAAACATCGCCTCTTCCTTACGTGGTAGGCAGTAACATCTCTGTTAGCATGCTAATGGCTGTTTTGCATTTGCTGTGCTATTTCTTTGTGTTGGGTATGTACAGCTAAATGGATCTGGAATATGCAGTGTGTCTGCGTAATGGCCAATTACAACTCCTTTGTAAGTGTAAAAGTACACTCAAAGGAACAGTGAAATAGCAACAATAAAGGCCAGCGCTGAGGTTTTGTTAACAGCTCTGTAATGTCCCCTTCTCAATTAATTGTTGATGGTGACTTCTGCGGCGATATGAGGAAGAGTTGGTGCGGTAGCTGTTCTTACGTAACAGCGAAAGGGAATTGAAGGTTGCTTCAGTTTGTGAAGTAAAAAGGTGTCTCTGCAAATCATGTACTGACGTTATGCATTATGTAGGGAGATTTGTCAGATGTTGGGGGTTTTTTCATGCTCATGTTCAAGTTTTTTAATTATTAAAGTGGATGTTATCTCAGGTAATCCCTCTTCTCTGCAAACAGAAGCTGATCGGCCTCTTTACGCAAAAGTGAACAATCTGTGATGCACAGACAATCTTCTCTTGATTTATCAAAATAACCCCGTCATTGTCACGGTCCTGATTTTGCTGTGGGGATTTGACATTTACTGATTGTCTTGAGACTTGCACTTACAGTCCTCTGAGTATTTTCCCATCGATATATCTCTTTGAATAATTGGCAGCCTTTAGTTCTAGTTTAACCACATCTATTTTGCTGTAGCCGGCGAAGAGAAAATCCAGATCCATGGTGACAGAGTGAGAGTGGCTCTCGTTGTGCTGCTGAAAGTCAAAAGAGGC